CTCAAAACCCACAACTATTACAACTCTATCAAGAGGAGAGAGACCATCTGAGCAGTGCTGCAGCTATTAAACACGTTGAATTTCTATCTCAAAACTTCCAAAAATTTATGGTTTCAAATAGAGAACTCTACCATTTAAAAAATTAACATGCACTCTATACAATCTCTTCCAGAAAACAGAAAGGAGGTAACACTTCCCAACTTATTTTATGAGACCAACATTATCTTGGAACTGAAACCAGACAAAAATATTACCAAAACAAAACAAAAAACTGAAAATCCTCTAGACCAGTATTTCTCATCAACTCAATGTATACTTCAGAAACTATTAGCAATCTATACATAAACTCCTGGAAATCTCAACAGGTTGCAGGATATACCATCATCACAGGAGAAGCAATTGCCTTTCTTTATAGTATGAACACGCAGAAACTGAAACTAAAAACAAAATACCACTGAAGTCACTCCAAAAAACAGAAATACTTAGGTAGACACTCAGAAAAGCATGTATTAGATCTGGATGCTGAAAATCAGAGTGCTGATAACAGAAACTTTAAAAAAAAAAAAAACACCTAAATAAATGTAGAGATATGCTATGTTGGTGGATTGGCAGACTTTGAGTCTCCCCCAAATTAATCCATAGGCTTAATGTAATGCCTATCAAGGGCCAGCAAGGTGGACAAAGACAAGTTTATTCTAAAGTTTACATGAAAAGGAAAAGGAAATAGATTAGTTAAAACAATCCTGACTAATAAAATTGGAGTGAGAAGAATTATTCTGCCTGACATTAGGGCTTACTATGCAGCTATAGTATTGGAGCCAGCGTGGCATTCGTGGAGGGACAGATGGATATCTACAGAATAGCACAGAGGAACTCAGAAATAGAACTCTAAAGCGTTAGTATTCAGCTTCTAGCACAACTTCCCCAATCAATAAAATTGCAGTCACAAAGAAAAACAGGCAAACTATATGAACAGCGAATTCGTGGAAGAAGAAATAACAATGGCTAACAGATTTAAGAGATGTTCAGATGTATTAGTAATGAGAAAATATAAATTAAAAACAAGGAAGTGTTTCAAACTCATCAAACAGGACTAGATTTTAAGCCTGAAAATAACCACTTGCTTGTGAGGATGTGAGGAAACAGGAAGTCTGAGGTCATGCTGAGATATTCTGGTGAGCTGCGAGACCATCTGAGAATGCTACAGATGGGGCTGACCCATTCCAGTCATGCCCCCTGGGCAACAGTTTTCAAAATGTGGTCTGTGAACCAGAGGGGTACCCAGGAACCTTTCAGAAATCTATGGGGTTTTTGTAATTAACACTGAGAAAGTATTTGCTTTGTTCACTGCACTGATAGTGGAGAAGCAATGGTGGAGACAGCTGCTGGTGCATTAGCACAAATCAAGGCTGTAGCACCAGCCGTACCAGGAGTCGCCATATTCTGCACAACACCCTCACACTTCAAGAAAAGTCAGCGTGGAGTGGGCACTCAGCCTAGGACACCCCCACCCCACAGCATGGTCTGGACTCCAGTCTCCTCGCAATGCAGACCTGGGAGGCTGCGATGGATCCTTCATTCCCAGCTCCTGACTCCCAGCTTTGGCCCCTGCCTAGCCCCAGCTGCTGTGGTCATTTTGGACGACAGTCCTCACTGCCTGTCTGTTTGTCTTTATCTCTTTCTCCGCCTCTCAAAAAAAAAAAAAAAAATTCTGGGGGCCAGTATTGTGGTGTAGCAGCAGGTAAAGCCACTCACTACCTGTGATGCTAGTATCCCACATGGGCACCAGCTCAAGTCCTGGCTGCTCCACCTCCAAACCAGCTCCTTGTTAATGGCTTGGGAAAGCAGCAGAAGATGGCCCAAGTGCTTGGTCCCCTGCCACCCATGTGGGAGACCCAGATGAGGATTCTGGTTCATGGTGTTGGCCTGGCCCAGCCGTGGCCATTGTAGCCATCTGGGGAATGAATCAGTGAATAGAAGATCTCTTTCTCTAATTCTGACTTTTTCTTTTTTTTTTTATTTTTAAGATTTTTTGTTTTATTTATTTGAGAGGTAGAGTTACAGACAGAGAGAGGGAGAGACAGAGAGAAAGGTCTTCCATTGGCTGCTTTACTCCCCAAATTGCCACAACATCCCAGCTGTGCTAATCTGAAGCCAAGGGCCAGGAGCTTCTTCCGGCACTCCCACACTGGTGCAGGGGCCCAAGCACTTGGGTTATCTTCTACTGCTTTCCCAGGACATAGCAGAGAGCTGGATCAGAAGAGGAGCAGCCAGGACTAGAACTGGTGCCCATACCGGATGCTGTTGTTGAAGGCAGAGGCTTAGCCTACTATGCCACAGGGCCAGCTGAAATTCTGACTTTCAAATAAATAAATAAATCTTTAAAATAAAATATGAGAAAAAGCAAATTTGATGTAAATATGTCCTTGTTGTGTTCTTACTATTATTTCACTCTCAGCTTTTTTAATACTCTGTCATAAAATGGGAAAAAGTTATGCATAAATGCTCCTGCTGCACATGAAACATAAAGATCATCTTAAGAAGCTCTATGCAACTGGGTTGTAAGCTCAACTAGCCATTTGTTTCCATGGCCCATTACTTAAAAGCAGGACTGGCAAACTATGGTCATTCAGACTTGGGTATTTGGCATATTTTCTTAGAAACAAATTATATAAGCCTGCCACTTGAATAACTGAGAGAATTTGTTGCCGCTGATAAAGTTTCAGCTTTCAAGTGTAGGTTAAAAGCTTTGAAAAATCTGCATAAGCTGTATTATAAACTTTTTCTGATAACAATGGTGGTAATATTCTAACTTTTGGTATCTTATATGAAATACCAAATTTTTTTAAAGATTTATTTATTTATTTGAAAGAGTTATAGAGAGGCAGAGGGAGAGAGAAAGAGGTCTTCCATCTGCTGGTTCACACCCTAGGTAGCCTCAATGGCTAGAGCTGGGCTGATCCAAAGCCAGGAGCCAGGAGCCTCCTCTGGGTCTTCCATGCAGGTGCAGGGGCCCAAGGGCTTGGGCCATCCTCTACTGCCTTCCCAGGCCACAGTAGAGAGTTGTCCAGAAGTGGAGCAGCCGGGACTTGAACCAGCGCCCATATGGGATGCCGGCACTGCAGGAAGCAGCTTCACCCGCTATGCGCCATAGCAACGGCCCCCAATTGTTTTCCAAGTGACCAATAGATGATGTTAGAAACTTTTATATAGGTAAGTCTTTCAAAGGACCAGGTAAACCAATGGATTTTTAATGTAATAGAGTATAAAAAGTTCACTGATGATTTCAGGTAATAGAATATTCATAACTATATGAAAAAGCTATAGAAATACTCATTCTTTTCTATATCTTCAACATTTCATATGAAGTATTTTCTTCATGTATTTTAACCAAAAAAATCACAGAAAATTTAGTGCAGAAGCAGTGAGTATCTAGTTCTCTTTCATTAAAGTCAGACATTAAAGAAATTTGCAAAAATATGACACAATATCATTCTTTCACTAATTTTGTTGTTTGGAAAAACAGTTTTCATAGCAAAATATGATCTTTGGGAAACATGGAATGCATTTACTAGTGTTATATTGTTCTTAAAATGTTAAAATTTTTAAATTTTATTACAGTAAATATCTGCCAGTTCTTTGGTGTCCTCAATCATTTTTAAATTTATTATTTATTTGAGAGACCAAGAGCTCCTATCTACTAGTTCATTCCCCGCAGGGGCTGGGCCAAGCTGAAGCTGGGAGCCAGGGGCTCCATCCAGGTCTCCCACATATCTGGCAGGGACCCAACTTCTTGAGCCATTACCAGCTACCTCGCAGGGTACACATTAGCTGGAAGCTGGAATCAGGAGTAGAGCAGGGGCTTGAATTCAGACACACTGCTACAGGATGTGGGCATCTGAACCACAGGCCAAGTATCAGCCCCTTTCCGCAATGATTCTTCAGAGTAAGAGTCCTAGATTAAAAAGTTTGAGACCAGCCACCCAGGAGAAACTTACTCAAGTGCATAATAATTTGTACAATGGGTGAGAGGCAGCAGGCAATGGCTCAAGTAATGGGGTCCCTGTCATCCACGTGGGAGACCTGGCTGAGTCCCTGCCTTCTGGCTTCAGCCAAGCTCCAGTAATAGTAGGCTTCTAGGGAGTGAACCAGCAGATGGGAACTTAACTCGGCCTCTCAAATACATTAAAGAAACACAGATATGAAATGTGTATACGAAGATGTTCATACTTGCAGTGCTTTACAAAAACAAATTTAGAGACAAAGCTCGCTCTGTTGTTTAGAAAAGTTCTTTGCATTTCAGCCCCACCCCTCGGCTCCCACCATTGTGCCCTGCTTGGGCCTGTGATCCTACATCCAGACAAGGCTTGACAGTGCTGAGGATCACTGCTGTTCAGTGTTTACAGCGGATGCAATCAGATCACTATGGTAGCTTCTTGCTGAACACCCCAACTCCATCCTCCAAGTACTTAACAAATTAAATCCCAAATTGTCAACGCAACCCCACTTCAACCAAAAGAGCTTTCAAGTGAGACAGGCAAACAAATTTCAAGCTTTTAAAAAAAGGTTGAAAGAGCACTATGTTAAATTAATCTAACCAATAATCACAAGCTGTCAGTTTTCCCTCCTCTTTTCCTTTCCTGGAGCACCGGGGTTAACTGCCCTCTTAACCAAGGCAGTTCAGTAACTACCAGTTTTCCCCAACCGAAAGAATCTGGGACACATCCACCTGGATGAGGTCATCCAGATCGACCTTTTCAGAAATGAGAACAGCAATTAACCATGCAGGTAACGACAGAGAAGCATCCTGGTTTCCCATGAATCGGGAGTAAAAGGTATGCTCTTTTCGGGAAGAGACACTGTGTTGGAAGAAGGGGTGGTGGAAATCTGCTCCAGAAGCAGCGAGTGGTGGAGGAAGAGGAAAGAGAGGGGCACTCCCCGATCTTTCTGGGAAATACTCCTGCACACTTCTCGGTAATATCGGATCACCTTATTTTTACCTCCACTACAAAAGTGTCGATAATCTGCTCCCGGGGGAGGAACCAGTGGGCTACCTCCTCTTCATCCATCACCGGGGCTAGATGAAACTGCTTCAGGTAGCTGTTGATTAATTCTCGAACTGCTTTGACATCTTTTGGTTCCATCGGTCTCAAACCTGAAGTCTTTGTAACCTTGTTGGAGGGAAAACGAGACAAATTCAGGAGTTTAAATGTAAGGCGAATAAGAACTACTTTGTGTCCAGAGCATGGTCCTTAGATGGGCAGTAACAGCATCACCAGGGAGCTTGTCAAAATTGCAGAATCTCGGCTGGGCCCCAGCCCTTAGCCAATCAGAATCTGCAATTCAACACAACTCCCACCCCACTTCAGCCCACAAGTGATTCCTGCATACAGTGTGAGAGGCACTGAGTTCGAAGATGTGCTAGATAATGTGTCATTTCTTGTAATTTCTGTGTGGCTGGTCTTTGGTCAGTATTGGCCATGACCCAAACAAAATGATAGGGAGGACTGTCACAGTTGATTTGTATGCCTAAGCCAAGGACGTTAGCATTATACAAGACAGAACATAACAGTCTAGCATGACTGCTGGAATATTATCCTTTAAAACTGCCAGGTCTGACATCCTGAAAAACACAGTGGAGAAACTTATTTTCTTCAATAGCCCATGAAAAAAGATCATGATCTTGTCCTTTTTAACAAAAACAGTTTGAGTTGAACCATACTGGTCAGGATGGGAAGGCAAGCACTTTAACAGCTCAGCATTTCCTAAAGGTTGCTGCTCGTGCGGTCTCTGGATTACCAGGTCATCAGAGCAGGCGTTTCGGTCACCATTCCAGAGCTTCACAACTTTACACAGAGACCACAGGACTTGTAAAAAGCCTGCAGCTCAGGACAGGTCCTCATTTGAATTTGTTCAACTATTTGTATTAAAAAAAAAAAAAAGCTCCTGGCAACACTTGGTTTTCTACAGGCTGTCTAGACTAGATACTTGAGACTAGAATGAGAAAGCCTGACCAACAAAAAGTAAAAGCTGAGAAAAATAGCCTCATTTTTTCCCCAGGGAAACTTGACCTGCTCCCTCCCCCACCCCCTGCTCTGGGAGAAATACTAGATACATTTTAGGGGATTAATAACTTATACAAATATTGCCACTCTAACTTTTCTGTTCTAAATTATTTTTAAATATTTTAAATAAAAAAATTCCCATGGAATTAGATCATTCTAACTCCTGCACATTCCTAGGTAGAATCCCAGGGGGAAAACAGGTCTTTTTCAAGTGCCAGCTCTGATGACTACCAGTAGTTGTGCTGAGGTTCCAAAGTTTCCATGCCGCTGCTGATTGATTATTGATGAGCATGGGGGCGGGGCATCGGGCAATGCAGACCCAGTGGTCCCTGGCTATTTACTATGCGCCATTCAATCATGACTTAGGTAATCTATAAAGATATAATATTGCAGCTAAAATACTATTTAATAATCTAAATTTAGAGAATTGAAATTCTTACTATTTAATAGACAACTCATTCTTTTATTCTTTTTATGGCTCTCAAAGCCGACAAGTCCAGAAACCCAGGTCCTAGTTGGAAGTAAATGAAATAAATATGTATTTCTAAATGCTAGAATGAAGACCAAAATCACAGAAAACACCATGTTGCAGTTATTAAAGATGCATTTCTTCTGCGAGGCAGACCTCAGCTGATAGATTTCAAATAGCCTTTCTCCATATCGGAATGTTTTCTCTTTTGTTAACTGGATCTGTAACCATCTACATTATCAAGCCATTACATTAATTAGTGGAAGTAACAAGATCTAAAAATCTGTTAATAAAGAACATTCAGAAATGAAGAAAAAGTTTGCCAACTTCTATCAGAGCAAAATATCCTTCTGGAACAGATTCTCTTGCACTTAATATGCAGACTGTGCCATTCCTAAGAAGAGTGTGCCGTGAGCCCAGCAGACGTCCTCACAGAAGACCTCAACTGTCCCTTTCCCACTCCCAGCGATCACTGAAGACCCCAAAGGGCTTTGTTGATAAGGGTTACATGCATCTACATTTATTGCATCAGAAATTAAACCTGAGAACATTTTAAATAAGCACGCAGACAGCGAAAACGAAAAATGCAAAATTTCATTGTAGTGTTGTTATGAAAACAGTGTTGACTTCACAGAAAGAACTCAGGGACTGTCGTAGGTCTCAGAAGTTCAGAAAAATAAGTAATTTACTCAAGGAAGACCCAGATAGAAAATAACAGAAACTTGGCAATTTGTAAGCAGAGGCATTAAGAAGAGGAGAACATCATCAGAGTACTACCAGCTATAAAAACATATAAGGTCCTAGAAAATGAGGCAGTTATTTATTTTACTGACTAGCAATGGCTTGACAATCTACAGAATAATATTTATACTTGATCTTAGCCAAAAGCCTAAAAAGTGATAAAATAATTTTTTAAATACGAAATACTCAAAATATAACTGTCATCTTCAGGGAAAAGTGGAAAGATTGTTAAGCTTAGATAAAAACGATAAGCTTTTGTATAATTTCAGTGAAGTGGTCATGTCTTCTGAGTTTAATAAAAAGCAAAGAAACTTTTTCAGTAACTGAGAGCATCTCTGATTCCATAAGCAAACACCTTCCCACTGCCTTGCTCTATCCCATTACTTGTTGCACTCTATGCATAGACAATGAAATCTGTGAAAAACCTGCTCAGCAGCCCCGAGGAAGTGCAGCCTGAAGCCCTGTGAGAAACAGAAGGGTGCTGTTATCTGTCAAACCACTTGGCCTGACCTGTGTAGCGCTGGCATTCCAGGGTAGAGATGTAAACAATGATTATGGTTGTTTATATGATTTAAAAAGAAGATGCTAAACACTAAAAAAAAAACATTTTATCTAATGCTATGGAACATCTGTGTGTCTTAGAACATGTCTTAGCAAGAATATCCTTCTTGTAAGACCAAGTAAGGACCTCAGAAGATTAATTTCTGACTCCTAACTACTTCAAATGCCTTTACGTTTGAAGTCATTACACACACACACACACCCCTTTGGAAATACCCAACACCAAAATTAAAAAAAAAAAAAAAAAAAAACAAGGTGGAAAGGATATTAAGACATGGTAAGACTTGTTTCTTAAGGAAACCTTAGTATCTTGTCTTATTTTTAACTAATTAATTTGAAAGACAGAAAGAGACAGTGAGTTCTCATATGCTGGTTCACTCCCCAAATATCCACAATGGACAGAGCTGGACCAGAGGCCAAAGCTGGGTGCTGGGAACTTGATCCAGGACTCCCATGTGGATGTCAGGAACCTGACTACTTGAGCCATCACCACTGGCTCCCAGGTTCTGCGCTAGCAGGCAGTTGGAATCAGGAGCCTGCGCCAAGAATGGAAGCCAGAGGGTGTAATGTGGGACATGGTGTCTTCACCAGCATCTTAATTGCTATATCCACACACCTGTACCAAGTCTTAGCATTTTAGGTAACAGTGGCCAGTGGTGTGGACTTTGCAATAGCTCTACTCTTACCTAGCAGACTCTGGTCCAGTCAACCTTGTGCTTTGAGGTCCTGTGCTGTGACAGACCCTGGGAATAATGCCTCCTGGGATCGCTATGAACCATACATGAGATTGACCATGGACACTAAATGTCTAGCATCAGGCTGGCCACATTAAATGTTCACTCCTTTATTCAGTAGTCCATGAGAAAGATGTAAAGTAGGAACTATATGAAGAGACAGTCATGAGGCATCAGGAAGTAAGATTGATATACAAAGCAAAAGTTGCATTCAAAAGGCTTCTTTTACACTGAACGGTACAAAAATGCTCACTAATGACTTGATTGCCAGTGGTGGTATCGTCCACCTGTGGTGGTGGTGATGCTGCTGCACTGTCCAGCATAAACTTAAGAGGCAGACACCCAGGCCAGCGCCGTGGCTCACTAGGCTAATCCTCTGCCTTGCGGCGCCGGCACACCAGGTTCTAGTCCCAGTCAGGGCACTGGATTCTGTCCCAGGGAGTGCAGTGGAGGATGGCCCAAGTGCTCGGGCCCTGCACCCCATGGGAGACCAGGATAAGTACCTGGCTCCTGCCTTCGGATCAGCGCGGTGCGCCGACAGCAGCGCGCCGGCCGCGGCGGCCATTGGAGGGTGAACCAACGGCAAAGGAAGACCTTTCTCTCTGTCTCTCTCTCTCTCACTGTCCACTCTGCCTGTCTAAAAATTTTTATTTTTTATATTTTTATTTTTATGGAGGCAGACACCCAAGTAGTTGTCATTGGCATCTCCCAGCTTCCTGATATCTGTATTTTCGTCTCTTTTACCCTCTCTCTATGACTTAAAAGGAGGAGAGGAAACTGGAAGAGGCCGAGAGTGGACCATGACCATCGTCCTGTTCTGTCCTAACCTGCTTTGTGACAGCTGCACAGCGGGCCATGTGGCGGGACTGGGCCATGGTGCCCCGACAGGGGCTGTGCTAGAGGTGATGGCAGAAGCAAAGGGATCTATAAGAGGAAACACAGACATGAGGGCTTGGACCCCAAGTCCTCTACTTACTAGTGATAATGCCTTTGGCCTCAGTCTTTTCCATCTGGATAAAGGAGATAAGAAGCACTAACCTCAGAAGGTTGACATGAAATTGAATAATGAGTGTGAAAATGTGTTGGAAAAATGTTATTGGGGGAAAAAAGGCAGTCACTACAACAACATGGCTAGAATAGGGCATAGGTCAATTGTAGGTAAGATGCCAACATCCGGTTTTAGTACCAGTGCCTGACCAGGGATTTTTTACCAACTTGTCAAAACTTTGTCATCCAGGAGCCAGCATTGCGGTGTAGTAAGCAAAGCTGCCACCTGTGATGCCAGCATCCCATATCAGAGCACCAGTTTGAGTTCTAGTTGCTCTGCTTCCTGGCTTTGGCCTGGATCAGTAGCTCAAGCCATTAAAGTTATCTGGAGAGTTAACCATGGGTGGAAGATTTGTTTCTCTATAGATAGATAGGTAGGTAGGTAGGTAGAGATATATTATTGTTTTTCAAATAAGTAAATGCATCATTAAAAAATAAAATGAAATGAAAAGAAGAAAAATTGTTGGCCGGCGCCGTGGCTCAATAGGCTAATCCTCCGCCTTATGGTGCCGGCACATTGGGTTCTAATCCCAGTTGGGGCGCCGGATTCTGTCCCAGTTGCCCCTCTTCCAGGCCAGCTCTCTGCTGTGGCCAGGGAGTGCAGTGGAGGATGGCCCAGGTGCTTGGGCCCTGCACCCCATGGGAGACCAGGAGAAGCACCTGGTTCCTGCCTTCGGATCAGCGCGGTGCGCCAGCTGCAGCGCACCAGCTGCAGCGGCCATTGGAGGGCGAACCAATGGCAAAGGAAGACCTTTCTCTCTGTCTCTCTCTCTCTCACTGTCCACTCTGCCTGTCAAAAAAAAAAAGAAGAAGAAGAAGAAGAAGAAGAATTGTTTTCATCCATGATTCGATTGACTGTTGGACAAAAATATAAAGGCTGATTGTCAAGGTCACATCAAAAATATTTTTAACATCTTAAATTCTAATCATCCTGACTAAGCCAATGATTGATATCAAAACTCCTTATTCTTCATCCTATTTTAGGCAACCTAGATGTAACTGTGTGTCTTCCTTACTCATAAGGTATATTGCTTTAGGTTCAATACACTGAAATCCGGGGAAACCAAAGTAGAACAGCGTTAGCCCCCTAGTGAAAAAAGCAGGCATGTCTGAAGTTTTTATTTCAGTTCTCCTAGAGCAGAACTTCAAACAGGCTGTATGATGGCCCCAGGGCTCACACCTCTTGGAGGTCACACCTGCTGTGATATGCTCCTAGGGCACGTGGGCGGGGCACAGGTCTTGCTTCTGACTGACAGATGGGGATTTGATTTACACAAGGCTCTCTGACTTTTCCCTCTCATGGAGGCTTTGACTCCCGCTGGCTTCGATGAACAAGCTGTCCACATGGCAAAGAACTGAAGGCAGCCTGCAAAGTAGTAAGGCCCTCAGTCTACCAGCCAGCGAGGAACTCCGTCCTGCTGACAACACGCGTACTCCGGAAGTTTCAGAGGAGACCCAGCCCTGGCTGACACCTTGACAGTAAGATGCAGCTACACAGGGCCCGGGCGGCTGACTCGGTGTGTGATGGTCTGTCACGGAGCAACCGTGAATTTACCAACCAATTCCCCAATAATGCTAAGACTAAAAGGCATATTTACATCTTCCCCTATGAAGAATGACAACTTTTTCCTGTTGGAAATTTGCTAGCTTAAAAAGATGATCATTTAATGAGACATTATTTCCTGTCCCTGGGTCTCTCCTCTAAACTCGGTTCCTTTGTTTGAAGAAAGCAGCAGCCTGAACTCGCCTTCCCTCTTACTTAACAGACCATAAAAACTCAAAATTTGAAAACTTACTTGAGTTCAACCTGATGCGACTATAAACCAAAGAACTTAAAAAGTCTTAAAATCAAAACAAAGCAAAAGACTGGTATTTCCACATTAAGCTCTCCTACTTTTCCTAGTTCCTTAGCTCTCTGCAGTCTTTTTAGCCCCATGTTCACTTCTTCAGACTCTGTTTTTAGACTCCTGCGAATAATTCTTTTCTGCATTAAAAGCTTCAGCTGTTACAGCTTCAGAAAACTGCAAAGCATTCTTACTTACATCCGGAAGTCTGTATAGCTTCATTGTTCTCTGTAAAGTCATATTTCTACTCAAGTGAGAAAATTTCACTTCTACCAATTTTCTGGGGTTTAGTGATCGATGCCAGTATCTGGAATACAATAAAGGTGTTGAAGTCAAATTGACTGCTGAGTGCACAGGTCCTCACTCCTCACTCAGCTCAGCTCAGCTGCTCTGTGAGCATTTCCTGAACGCTCACGTTGTGCCTGGCACAGTGCTGAATGCTGGCCCTCCGCCCACGCAGTCATTTTACCAGCCAACTTTGTAACCCCAACAATATGTCTTGCATTCCTAGTTAATGTTCCTTTGGAGTTGGTGACCTTTCATCTTCACTGAAGAGGAATCTTAAAAGTACAAGAGAAATCTTAGACCGAGGTTTGCACGCCTTCAGTGACTACCACTGATACTAAGAAGGCAAACTGAACAGCTTAAAAACATGGAAGTGCTTCTCCTACATCCACAGTCTTCTCCACTCCCATAGAATACACACCAAGGGAACCAACTCTTTGAGAAACCAGCTTGACTTTCTAAAGTGATTCCAGGTTAGGAACTAGGATAAATGATTTGAATTAAAATACAGCTGTGGAGTCTTTGTTTTTGTTAAATTATGAGTATAGTAATTTAATAGAATACAGTAATTGTACTCTTTTACCTTTTATACTATGGTTACATTAAATTTCACCCTAGTCAATGAAAACAATACAGACAGATGAATTCTTCCTGATCTTTCAGAAACAGTGACGACCTGACTGGCTTCTCCCTGGAGTAACCTTGGAAAGCTTGATTAGAATGGACCAAGTCACAAACACAGAGCTGAAGCTGCCATCTTACTGTCTGCCACCAAGTACAGCCATGGCTCTTCGACCGACACAAGTGGGGTTCTGGAATAATTCAGTAGTGCCGTGAGGCACAGCAGAAAACCAAGTGGTAGGGAGCAAGCCAAGGGTAGATGTTGGCCACTTCAAGATCACAGCGCTCAGGTCTCCCCATGCATCCATAGCGATGGGCTTTCAAGCAGAAGGGCAACAAAAGCTCAGACCCAGAAGCACCAGAGGGAACGAGCTAAAACATTTTTAAATGATCAGTTGGCTGTATTATATTGCAAAGAATACTGGACTCAGTGGTTCTAGGTTCCAGTCTGATCTCCACTACCAAGAAACTCCATAAACACAAGTAAGCCAAAATCCCTCTGAGTTACTCCTGGGAATAAAGGCTTCCAGAAAAACGGTTCTCATTAGTTTGGGGTGGGAGGAGCTGAGTAGTGTGGCTGTTACCTGCACGTGGCCACCGGCTTAGGAAGAACTACCCCAGCGGTATACACGGCCTGGAAGATTCCTTCCAGATTCACTCTTCTAGTTATTTCTCGAATTAACACTGGGGCTACTCGTTTGGACCTCAGTTTCTTGTGCACACAAAGAAAGTTGATTTCTACCATCTTCTTCACACTGGGAAATAAAGATGTTGAAAATTAGAGCCAACACAAGACAAACATATTTTTCAAAAGTAAGACCAACATTTTTAAAAATAGGTACATGAAAGACATCCTTTAACATATTAAAAATATTCTATTCTTTAGACTTTTCACAGATTCCAATCAAAATGCTATTCCCCATACTCCTCGGCCAAAATGGTTTAACTGTAGGCCAGGGAGGTGTAAACACTCTAGTTCTAAATATACTTTAGGATTTCAGTCTTTTTTTTTTTTTCTAAGTTTTTAGTTAACAAACTGGATCAGATGGTTCTCCTAAAGTTTATCTGTTTTTCCTGAAATGTATATAATTACAGCAGTAACTGGGTCAGCCCAGTGCAGAATCAGACAAGATGTCGCTTTGTGATATGACACAGATTCCTAGGATCTCTGAGAAAGGCCCTGACCAGACCAGCTCTGATGGTTTTCTGAGCTACCATAAGCACTCCAGAGCCTCAAAGCCTGTTCCCAGGTCGGCCTCCAGGATTGCCGCCGTTTTGTTTGGCAGACATTATTCCTGGAGATCAAATGCTTTGTAGCAATAATTAAGTTAACCCAACATGCTGGAATGCAAACAGACCTAGAATGCATTTGATCTTTGACTTTCACAGCTGGGTCTTTGACTTTCCGGGCTGGAGACACAGAGTAAAAATGCAATATACTGGGGCCTGGCGCTGTAGCGCAGTGGGCTAAGCTGCCACCTGTGACACCAGCATCCCATATGGGAGTGCTGGTTCAAGCCCTCGGTACTCTGCTTCTGATTCAGCTCCCTGCTAATGTGTCTGGGAAGACAGCAGAGGATGGCCTGAGTGCTTGGGCCCCTGCCACCAATGTGGGAGACCCAGATGGAGTTCCAGGCTCCTGGCCTCAGCCTGGACCAGTGCCAGCCACTGTGGCTGTTTGGGAGTGAACCAGCAGATGGAAGATCTCTCTCACTGTGTGTCACTCTGCCTTTTAAGTAAATAAATAAATGTTTTAAATGAAATACAACATATTCACTTTATAGAGACAGTTTTTTATCCCACTTCAAATTTGTATAGTATTCTTACCTAGAAATAAATGTGAAATACCTCTTTATGGGCTTGTTTATTCTGATACACACATAGCCTCTCTCTCTGTGTCTGTATTTACACATAACACATATTAGTGTGCCTGTATGAGACTCAGGTAGAGCAAAAAAAAAGAGAGAGAGAGAAAACATTTTTCTTAGTTCACAGTCCCCTCTATCCAAATTATTTTAACTAAATAATATACTTTTTTGTTTTTTAATTATTTGAGAGACATGGAGAAAGACAGAGAGCTCCTGTCTACTGGTTCACTCCCCAGATGCCCTCAATGGCTGTGGCTGTGCCAGGCTGCAGCCAGGAGTAGGGAACTCAATGCAGGTCTTCCGTGTGGATGGCAGGAGCTCAATTACTTGAGCCATCACCACTGCCTCCCAGGATCTGCATTAGTAGAAAGCTAGTATCAGAAGGCGAGCTGGGACGTGAACCCAGGTACTCTGACATGGGAGGTGGGCATCTTAGCCAACATGTTAACTGCTAGGCCAAATGCCTGCCCCTAAACTTTACTTTTTAATAGTTCTCTGTTCACGCAGAACTGCACTGAGAGATCCCATACAGCTCATCCCCACACAAGCACAACCTCCCCCACTATCAAGAGCCTGCATTAAATGTTTAAAAGCCTCCTGTTACCACCTTGTTGCCTTATCTTCTTCCAAATGTACTGCTAAACAAAGCGCGGCCTATGCAGTCACGCAGGCACACACACGCGAGCCGCATCTAACAGCCATTCTTGGAAAGGAAACGCAAGAACTGGCCCTGACAAGAACTCACGACGCACCTGTCATATATCCGGATGTTTGCGGGGATGGCACTTATGAATCCCACGAGTTTTTTATTTGAAGACACTCTGACCCCACAGTGCCACTGAAGGAGCCAGCCTGGGGGGCACAGCGCCCTGAAGTCAGGAAAGACCAGAAAACCAGGCACCAAGTGAGTGTCCAAGAACGCGGGGACAGATGCAGCCCTCCCAGCCCCACGGCCTCCGAGACGGGCGCGACTCACCACAGCAGGAACTCGGGCGAGTAGTCAAAGCGGAACATATTGTCATCGTCTTCCACGTAATTCTCATTTAACAACGTGTACAGCTCCTTGAGCTACAAGACACAGCAAGCGTCCTGTCCACGGTGCTCAGACCCAACTCAGGAGCACTTTTGTGTGGAGGCAACGTCAAGTTGAATGCAGGAGTTTTACTCACCACGTCGGCATTACTCAGGTCTAAAGTGTCCCACATGAAACCCTGGGGCAGGGAATACGGCTCCTGACGGACATTGTCTTTATCTGGTTCAATTGCACCGTGGGACGTTATGACTTCATCTGCAACAGAAGAGAAGCGGACGGACAGAATTTTCAATCACAAAAGTATTCGGACAATCCGAAACAGTCAGTGACAGAAACAAAATCCTATTTAGGGGCCTTGGGTTTAATGTACTCTTGAAAACCAAGCTATTACTTCAGCCTCCTGTGGACTGAGACAGGTAAGCTAGGCATTGCTATTTCATCAATTAAATCAAAGGAGAAATCCTCTGTCACCCAGTGAGGATGGTGACTTTATACAATAATGGCAATTTCTTAGTCCCAGTGGCAGGCTGCAGATGTAACACACAGCACCACGATACAACAGCCTTAGAGACTTCTATATATTTAGTTTTTAACAGGTTCAGCACAGTTCATAGGCACATTCTAAGAATACAATATTTTTCCCTTTCTCCCTCCCTCCCTCCACCTCCCCCACCTCTCCCCTTCACATCTGAGATAATATCTCTTTAATTCACATAGCAGTCAAGGGCTTAAAGCTCCAGCAAGTAAAGAGTTCAGCAAGTAGAAAGCAAGAAGGTCCTAGTTTAGCAGATAGGTAGGCAAGGGCTATAAATAATCATCAAGTGGAAAAATGACCATTTCACCCAGATACCGTAAATTTCTAAGTAATCACAGGTCATTAAAACTAAGTAGTATAATATTCTTAACCATTAGTTTGACAAATGTTTTCTTTTTCTACCTTGTATCTGCAAACTAGGGGTGGAATCGGGAGCTGCAGTGACCTTCGGCCCCTCCCAGCAACAAACCCAAAATTAATTTCAAGACTGGTGACTTCTCTCCATTGGTCCTGCTAGCAGAGTAGTCCGTGCCATAATGGTTTCTAGTGATTTCCACCTAGGTGCCTTCTTCCAATTCATTTTCTAGAAACTTCCCCAAGTGGTCAGAATGGAACCCGGGCTCTTCTCCAGGGCCACCGCCGGTCTTGCGCTCCGCCGCCCTTCACTGCCAGTGCTCAGCGTGCGGACCTCCCTCAGACCTGTCCCCCGCCAGGGCAGCTCTGGGGCCGGGCCTCTGCTCCTCACACGGCTGGCCCTGGGGAACTTCTCAGGCAGGTGCTGGCTTAGCCGCCGCTCTCTCACAGCATCTCTCCCTGGCCTACCTGAAGCGTGTCCTCACAGATGCCCAGCCTGGCCACCGTCTCTCTACTCTTCCACCTGGCTCCCCAGCACGCACCCCATGTTGTGCCCAGTGCTTGAGAGCAGACACTCAGCAAACATCTGCTGAACGGAGAACCCTCGGGGGCTGGTTCTTCCCATCACACGACCTTTGTATAGGTACAAGTCACAGGGGCTGTGCCAGCTCCAGTTCCTTTGGTAATAACCCAACGTGGTCGTTCTTACCTTATGTGCACTTTACCAGCTCAGCTCCACAGAAGTGCCTCTAGCTTCCTCAATTCAGCCCAGGTGGCCAAACTCCTAACTGCGCCCCTACAGGGTCCCTGGGGACCTTGGCTCTCACACAGCATCCCGGGGACAGTCCCAGGCAGCTCTGAACAGCTGGGTGTGTCGGGACTGAAACTGGATGCCCCACAGATGGACAGAGCAGGCAAGCAGTTTTCCTGACTTCCGAATGTCCTCCCTGACTGCAGGCTTACTCCTCCCCCACCAAGCTGGCTCCCTCTCCCCAACCCGTTCTGGCCTTTGAATGAACTAAAGTGTGCACCAAAAAGTCAAGGGACTAGAGAACCACACAAAGACTGAGGGGAAGAGGCAAAGTGCAGTGAGTGCCTGGGCCGTCTTTTCAAGAAGCACCCTGGGGTTAGGTGCTGGCTGGAAGTGGCTTTCACTCCCCGAAATAGGGTAGACCAGAAGTCCACCTAGCAGCATTCAGCAGCAGCCAATATACTTAGACCCACAAATCTAGATCCCGTAGCTAATGGTCATCAGTTCACCCCCATTTAAAAGCCTGTCAATTCAAGAGAATCTTCCTCCATCACAAAATACATTTCTAAAGCCTGTGAGAAAAAAAGTAAGCAAAGATCATTTCTGTCTTCCACACTCATAAATGGATTCCTTTTCAGGTATCTGAGGTGGGCGTGGGTTGGAGAGGGGCAGGAGCAGCAGAACAGTTTAAGAACCAATACTTGCAGACACTGAAAAGGACTGCTTCCTAATTAGACAAAACAGATTGCTTGTCACAGCTGGGTTATTAAGTTTTGACAGCATTTAACCCTTGATATGCTACAGATTCAGAACCTGAATAATCAAGGATGAAAAAAGCAGAAACAATGCTATGATAATCTGTTGCCATACACACCCAAGTTGCAGTACATTTTTGATCACCCTATGGCAATTATAACACCGTCTCGTTTTTGCAGAGTGTGAAGGAGGGCCAATCAGGTTACGTTTATGGCAACTTAAAAGGTAAAAGCCTAAGTGAGCTAGGAGGAGGCAGGCGCAGCACCAAGGGACGAGGCCTCGTGGCTGTGTCTTCTGCGAACCAAAGCCCCTACCTAGGCCTTCACCAGACGCCCCTAATCCTTGAGGGCACCGGGCCATTACCGAGTTGATGCCAATGAGCACCAGTGGCAGGTGTGCACATCCCAGGGTTCAATAGCACAAAACTTTCCATGTCTGTAATACGTGACTGCAACAGGGATGGTTTCTGAGACTTTAAATAACCGAGGGCTGAAACTGCTAAAAATTTACGTAGAGCAAAAACAATCCCAAGAAGCTCAGAAGCAAAGAATGAGAGGGGGAAAGAACCCCACCAGCGTTCCACATGTGGGGAAATAGGATGTTCTTATAGGGACAGAAATTAGGCCAAAATTGTTGTCACTGACAGCCGATGTAACTACCTGATAGTAACATGTTAGTTACTATGAGACAAAGATACAAGTGGTGTAATCTCTTTCAAGACTTCTGGCTGTTGTGCATGCATTTTTGATTTTGGGGGGAAAAATAAAGCAAAAGCGCTTACTTAGTTTGGGCACTGGCTGCGTGTCCCAAAACTGGTATCTGTGTTGCGCGGCCTCATCAGTGCTCCGGGTCGGGCCCTGGCACGCGGACAGCAGCTCCATGGCTCTCTGCATATCCTGCAGCTTCTGCATGGGAACGGCGGCATTCTAGAGCAGCAAAGACACAAGACACCGGGCGTGAGGAAGCCGCCACTGCTCCTGAAGCCGGGGCGAACGCACGTGCGTCTGCCCTGGAGACTACGTCGCTAAAAACTGACATCCTCCTCCAGGGCAGGTCAAGGCCACGGGCATAAGTGGGCAAACACGTTCAGCTCAAAGCAAACACAGTCTGTTAATGGTCACACAGCTCTATAGTTTGGATGGAGGCTGTGGCAGTTTGGGAAAACTGAAGCAAATCAAAGCACACTCTACCACCGTCTCCCACCCGTCCGCTGACAGCACCCAACAGCACGCTTCTGGGAGGAGAAGCGTCCCAAGCCTCACCATCATGCAGCAGCCAGGGGCACGCGCATTGGTGGCACTGCCAGGGTTATGCTCTGTAGTAGTGGCAATGGGTGAATGAAGGAAATAGCTTCTACAACAGTAGCTAAGTGGACGGGAGGGAATTTTAGTTCATTAAAGAAAATTTTAAAAAACCTGAACTTAGCGCTGAGCTGGGAAGGAGATGATCAAGAAAGGAAACCTTAAACCATGCCCCTCCCTGAAACATCCTGCCCTTCTTCCAACCCTCCTCCAGGGAGACAAAACCCTCCGAGCACCAGGGCCAGCAGCGTCCTCTGTACATTCAGACGCTTGGCAACTACCACCTGTTCTCCCCAGCCCAGGGCTGGATCCAGCCTCTTTTTTAGGAAAAGCACATTTCCAACCTCCAGACAATACCTTTCAATTCTAAAGTTGCTTTTTCAAAGCCAGTACACTGATCATCTCTTGAGGATTCTTCAGCTCTTTTTCTTTTAATTCCTCAAATTATGGGACATGAAACTATACTTAAAATGAGAGGACAGAGCATAGGACTGAAAGTGGAGATCAGAGACTTTTCAATATGCAAAGTAACCGGGAAGTGGGAGAAGCCTGCCGTGCCACAAAGAATGACCTCTGCTGTCATCTCAAAGGCATTTCGGAGCCCTTGGTTTCCACTGTCCATCACCAGCCGCCGGCCACAGGCTAAGGTACAACTGACCCTGGGCGGCCTGTAAACAGTGACTTTGGACTTCTGCTCCACTTTGAATCTGAAATCTGTGGTCTGGAGTAAATAATCCTAACCTGGGGAGCTCACCTGTCTGACACAGCCCAAAACAGGGCTTACTTGACACAGGCCATCCTGCAGTTGCTGTGTCCCTAGGTTTCCTTGGGGTTCCTGACACTGCAGTGATTCAAGGAAACAAAGTTGTGAAGCCACTTGGAGGCATGTTGAAGGCTTGATGTCTCCCCTTAGAAACGCAGCCGTCCAGCCCAGAACCGCCTGCTTTCATGAGCTGTTACACTCACATTTCGATTGAGCTCCAGATCCCAAGGGCCATACCTTAACATCACATAGAAATTTAAAAAAATACATTTCTTGCTCTAATGTGTTTTATTTTTGGATCATTTTTATTGCTTGGGTCTCTGAGTTCCTCCAACATTAAAAGTAACTGGTTTCTAGCAAAGCAAAATTTACATCCACTCAAATCCCAAAACACAATCTGTACAGGGGCCCACAACTCAAACGGGAGCTGAAGTCACAGTACTCTCAACTCATAATGTTGGACAAGTCTTATGGAGCCCAGATGCACCAATATAAATCCACAGTGTCTATATTAAATTTCTCATGGCATGTTTTCTTTCCTGAGATTTGGGTTAAATCTTCTAACACTAATACATCAAACTCGAATGATTCTGTAACAGTGGATAAGCATCTTTGTTCCAAAGGAGCCAATGGTATCCCAGCTCTACGAGTCACAGCTCAGAGTGGTAGCTACCTCACCTCCCCAGGTACATCAGGTTGCCCAGCATTCTCCACGTGAGGTCACCATTTGTGAAATAGTTAGATCCCACTGCTAGCTATTAAATGCTTTCTAGGCCGGCGTCACAGCTCACTAGGCTAGTCCTCTGCCTGCAGCGCCAGCACCCCGGGTTCTAGTCCCGGTCGGGGTGCCAGATTCTGTCCCGGTTGCTCCTCTTCCAGTCCAACTCTCTGCTGTGGCCCGGGAAGGCAGTGGAGGATGGCCCAGGTCCTTGGACCTGCACCCGCATGGGAGGCCAGGAGGAAGCACCTGGCTCCTGGCTTCAGATCGGCACAGCACAACGGCTGCAATGCGCCGGCCGTAGCAGCCCACTTGGGGGGTGAACCAACGGAAAAAGGAAGACCTTTCTCTGTCTCTCTCTCTGTCTAACTCTGCCTGTCAAAAAAAAAAAATTTTTTTTAAATGCTCTCAAAAAAAAGATTCAAGTAAGTACAGTTTTGAAATTCACAGCAGCAAAGAAGTAAGGAAAACTCAGTCATGATGTCTTAACCCTACCCATTAACAGAACAGTAGCACCACCTGGGGAGAAAGGACTGAGTGTCAAGAGAGTGAGAATGGCCAACAGTCCTGCCTTGAATTCCCACTACTATACTCCTAGGGTATTCTTTTTATACACCTACTCTTTGCAAAATACTGAACATCGACTATACGCTTTACCAATTATGTTTCAAGTTTACTACCTCGGAAAACCATCCAAGTCTTCTGCCACTAAGAAGTCATTAAAGAAGGAGCTGGTGTTATGCCACACCAGGTTAAGCTGCAGCTGGAGATGACAGCAACCCATTCCAGAGGGCCAGGTCAGGTCCCAGCTGCTCCACTTCAGTCCAGCTGCCTGCTAATGCACCTGAGAACAATGGAAGATGGCCCAAGTGCTTGAGCCACTGCTACAAATGTGGGAGACAGGATGGAGCTCCTGACTCCTGGCTTCAGACTAGCCCAGCTCTGCTATTGCACCCATTTGAGGCCAGAACCAGCGGAGCCTTGCAAGCCAGGGAGTGAGGAAGTGAGGGAGGCAGGGAGAGAGAGAGAGACAGACTTCCATCTGCTGGTTCACTCCCCAAACAGCCTCAACAGCAGGAGCTGGGCCAGTCTGAAACCAGGAGCCAGAAGCCTCCTCCGGGTCTCCCAGATGGGAGCAGGAACCCAAGCATTTTGGCCATCCTCCGTTACTTTCCCATGGACACCAGAAGGGAGCTGGATTGGAAGTGGAGCAGATGGGACTCAGACCAGCACCCACATAGGACAGGCCTGTGGCAGTTTTACCTACTATGCACTACGCTATAGTGCGGGCACCCAATAAATAAATCTTTTTTTAAAAAGTCTTTTTTTTCTTCTTACTATTTGCTGAACTCTTTACTTAGTGTAGTGTTAATCTTATAAGTATAAAATAAACTGAAAATAGATCATTTTAAAAATTAGAAGAGGGAATAAGAGAGGAAGGGTGGGAGTATGGGTAGGAAGGAGGGTAAGGTGGGAAGTATCACTATGCTCTAAATCTGTATATATGCAATACATGAAATGTGCTCACCTTAAAATTAAAAAAAATACAGGATATGAATAAAAACCAAACATCTTTAAGAATTCGGACAGAGGTAGGTGTTGTGGTGCAGCAGGTTAAGCCCTTGCAACGCAGGCATTCCATGTCAGAGAGCTAGTCAGTGTGCCCACTCCTCCACGCCTGTCCAGCTTCTGATAATGCACCTGGGAAGCAGCAGACGATGGCTCAAGTAGCTGAGTTCCTGTCACCCACACGGAGTTCCCGGCTCCTGGCTTCAGCCTGACCCAGCCCCCACTACTATGACCATTTGGGGAGTGAACCAATAGATGGAAGATATGTTTCTCTCTGCCTTGCAAATAAATAAATCTTTTTTGACAGATAGAGCTATACAGTGAGAGAGAGAGAGAGAGAGAGAGAAAGGTCTTCCTTCCATTGGTTCATCCCCCAAATGGCTGCTACGGCCGGCACGCTGCGCCAATCCAAAGCCAGGAGCCAGGTGCTTCCACCTGGTCTCCCACACGGGTGCAGGGCCCAAGTACTTGGGCCATCCTCCACTGCCTTCCCGGGTCACAGCAGAAAGCCGGACTGGAAGAGGAGCAACCGGGACTAGAACTCGGTGCCCATATGGGAGGCCAGCACCTCAGGCAGAGGATTAACCAAGTGAGCCATGGCGCCAGCACCAAATAAATAAATCTTAAAGAAAAAAAAATACAGACAAAAAATCATTTTTATTGTGATTCTTTAGGGTTGATCAGAATATTCGCTAAAATTCAGTTCACTATAAACTATAGTATTATCTAGAACTAATAGAAGCTTAAAGGAAAAGAACCCTAAGTTTTAAAAACACAATGGTAGGTGCAGGCAGTTGGCACAGCAGCTTAAGCCCCTGCTTGGAATGCCAGCATCCCATATCAGAGTGCTGCGTTTGCATCCTGGCTCCTCCATTTCTGTGTTTTGTTTTGTTTTGTTTTGTTCTTAAGATTTTTATTTTATTTATTTTAAAGACAGAGAAAGAGAGAAGTCCTCCATCTGCTGGTTCACTCCCCAAATGGCTGAAACAGCTGAAGCTGAGCGGATCAGGAGCCAGGAGCTTCTTCTGGATCTCCCACACCGGTGCAGGGGCCCAGGGACTTGGGCCATCCTCTGCTGCTTTTGCAGGCACATTAGCAGAGAGCTGTATCAGAAGTGGAGCAGCTGGGACTCGAACGGGTACCCATATGGGATGCTGGCGCTGCAGGCTGGGGCTTTAACCCTCTGTGCCATAGCACTGGCCCCTACTCCACTTCTGATCCAGCTTCCTGCTCATGTGAACCTTAGGAGGCAGCAGATGAGGGGTCAAGTGCTTCGTCCATGCCCTCAGTGTGGCAGTTCCTGGCTCCTAGCTTCATCCTGGCCCAGCCATGGCAGTTGCAGGCATTTGGAAAGCGAACCAGCTGACAGAAGATCATTCTCTATCTATCTCCCTGTCTCTGTCCCTCTCTCTGCCTTTCAAATAAAATGAAAATACAAAACACATCCAGTGGTGAAAAGCTCACATTACAACACTGTTGGTGGGGCCGGTGCTGTGGTGTAGCAGGCTAAAGCCCTAGCCTGCAGTGCCCACATCCCACATGGGCACGGGTTAGAGTCCCAGCTGCTCTACTTCCGATCCAGCTCTCTGCTATGGCCTGGGAAAGAGCAGAAGATCGCCCAAGTCCTTGGACCCCTGCACCTGCACCTGGAAGAAGCTCCTGGCTCCTGGCTTCGGATCAGCTCAGCTCTGGCCATTGCAGTTATTTGGGGAGTAAACCAGTGGATGGAAGACCTCTCTTTCTCTCTGGCTCTACCTCTCTCTGTAACTCTGTCTTTCAAGTAAAGCTTTAAAAAAAACAAAACAAAACAACAACAACAAAAAACACAACACTGTTGGCTTGCTCCTAATTAAAAGAAGGTCTCTACCACGTAATGTTACCAGTGCCTTCGGCCTTGGTGGGCCCTACTTTCTTACAAGAAAGTAGAGGTGAGGGAACGACTCAAAGTTACTAGGAATGATGGTGGTGGCAGCAGCAACGAGGGGGCGGCCACATTTGCAGCTGAGTGACACCTGCCTATCTGCTGAAGCAACACTTGGAGATGGGAAGATACTCTGAAAGCTAACAGTGGTATTCTCCTATGAGCTACCTTGGAAATTATGGCTGATGGGTAGAATACTGATTACCTGAGAGACAGGCTGAAAAGCTAGGGTGGAAGACTCCATTCTCTTCTCACCCAAAAAGCCAGTCAGTAAAAAAGTGGGGCAAGTAATTTTCCCTCTCAGTGATTCCTGGTCCTTTTGTGTAAAACAGGCAACAACAACAACAAAACTACCTGCAAGACTCAGCTCATAGGCTGGCGCCACAGCTCACTAGGCTAATCCTCCGCCTGCGGCGCTGGCACCCCAGGTTCTAGTCCCGGACGGGGCACCGGATTCTGTCCCAGTTGCTCGTCTTCCAGTCCAGCTCTCTGCTGTGGCCCGGGAAGGCAGTGGAGGATGGCCCAAGTGCTTGGGCCCTGTACCCACATGGGAAACCAGGAGGAAGCACCTGGCTCCTGAGCAGCCTTTTGGGGGGTGAACCAATGGAAGGAAGACCTTTCTGTCTGTCTGTCTCTCTCACTATCTAACTCTGCCTGTCAAAATAAAATAAAATAAAATAAAAAGACTCAGCTCATGGGCCAGAATATACATCCTGTATAATAAAAGCCCACAAAACTTACCTAAAAGTAATAACTGCCCTGCACACAGTGCCTCACATTACACAAGCCGTTTAATAAAAATGGCCTCATTTAAACATAAACAGCCCTGAGAGATGGAAAGGCATCATTTCCATTTTACAGGGAAGACGTAAGGAGATGAAGGAGCTTAGGCAAAAGCACACAGTTCATGAACAATGGAGCCAGGGCCAAGTTCAAAGTCTCCAAGGTATTTCCACGACACACACCATCCAGGATAGCCTATTTGTAGCTACAATCAAAATCACCTCTATCTTAGTATACACTTCCAGTTCCATCCTGCTGTGCACTGAATTCCTGCACCCAGAGGGCTTCGGTGTTTCCCAGAGCCCAGCACACAAGGGCTGTGTTCTCAGCCAAGGTGACAGGAGTGGGGGGAGGTGCTTGTGGGCAGGGGTGACTGCCATCTGCACCACCACACGCCCACGCAGCGCACCCTGCCAACACGGGGCCCAGCGGGACAACTTGTGTGGTTTGGTCTAAATGGGTTATTTCTTCACCAGGAGCTATTCCCCATCCCTGCAACTGAATGAAGAATAGCCACTGGCAACTGGTCTGATCCAAAGTCAACGTGAGACTTACCCGCGGTGGAGATGGCGGTGTGCTACCCAGGTAATTAGACAGACACCCAGAAAATGAAAATGTCAATATGTGCCAAACTAGAAGTAGTCAAACATGAAGTGTAACTTGGAAAAAAAAAAAAATAAAAAAGCCGAAGCAGCTCACACTGACTTTCTTCTGTAACTACAGTCTAATTCCCAACCCCAAGTCCCTGAAAATCAGGGAAAATCTGGCAGGTACCCCCCACACACACACACACACAAAGCACAGGTTGTTCCTCTTTCCTTATTCGGGTGCCAAAGTCAGTGTTAGGGAAGCTGTAAAGACGGCGTGGCTCCCAGTGCCACTGAGCACACAGTCTCAACATAACTCCGACTGCGCCTCCAGGCACAAAGCCACCACCAGCCAGGGGAACCCACAGTGAGAGCAGAGCAGGGCTCGCACCTTGGAAGGTGGCTGGGCTTTAGCCTCCTGGGAGTCAGACGCCGAGTCGGACTTGGCCCCTCCAGAGGTGGGCTTCTCCTTTTTTCTCTTCTGCTTCTTCTTTTTCTTCTTGGCTCCGAAATCCCCTCCAGGACTCCTGCAGGAGATACAAACAGGGTAAAACAAGCTACAAAAAAGGCATCCCGGAGAACACGTGTGTTACACACAAGGGAAAACCCACCCTAGGCTCTGGGCAGGAGATGAGGCATAGATTAAGAAATGAACAGGGCCAGCGCCACGGCTCACTAGGCTAATCCTCCACCTTGGGGCGCCAGCACACCGGGTTCTAGTCCCGGTCGGGGCGCCGGATTCTGTCCTGGTTGCCCCTCTTCCAGGCCAGCTCTCTGCTGTGGCCCGGGAAGGCAGCAGAGGATGGCCCAAGTGCTTGGGCCCTGCACCCCATGGGAGACCAGGAGAAGCACCTGGCTCCTGCCATCGGATCAGCGCAGTGCGCCGGCCGCAGCGGCCATTGGAGGGTGAACCAACGGCAAAGGAAGACCTTTCTCTCTGTCTCTCTCTCTCTCACTGTCCACTCTGCCTGTTTTTAATAATAAAAAAAAAAAAAAAAAAGAACAGACAAGGCAGGAAAACATCAGTCCACACCGAGTCCGGCACTTGGACGCCATCCCCTCAGTACCCCTGCTCTCCCACTCTACATTTCAAAAGTTAGCCTATTCAGGGAGCGGTACATAAGAAAATTCCATCACAGACATCTCTGGTACAACCAAGCACCACTCCGGGAGCAACAGAACTAACCAGAGTGCTTTTCTGCAACATGCGTTTTCAAAAATGCAGAGGAGGGAACCTCTCCTGGCAAAGGCTTTTACTAGCAGGGCTAACAACAACAAACTGTAACCGTTTCTGGTCAGAAGGCTTATTGCCTTTTGAAAGAGGAAGCAGGGGAAAATGGATGCAAGGAGACAGGTTTCCCATTCATCTGGTCTACTCTACCACAAAACTCCCAGAGGGTGAATTAAAAGTTGGGTGTGAGTTACTATTGCGTTATTGTCCAGGATGAAGAAAGTGGCGGGAACAATTAGCTGTGAGCCATTGTTCTAAATCAATCAGATTTACCTCTCCCTATTTTCCTTCTTGAATTTGCACCTAATTATGACATGCCGAATATGTCGCACAAGATTCCGATGTCATTAATCAATTAATTCCCTTATACTACCGTCCCTCAAAAGCAATCAATATGCTTCCAAAACTGCCATTCTTCTCAAAGCATGTCCTCATTTTCATGTTGAATGATCTTTTTTAGATAAAAAACTGAATCTTGGACATACCATTTTGAAATTTTTCTTACCTTTCCACTTAACTGCAGATCTTGGAATTCTTTCTGCGTTGGAATATACTGAACTACTGCCTTTCTCTTTACCAACTGGCTGGCTTTTCACCATGTAGATGGATCAGATTTTACTTACTGTTCCTATAGTAAAAAGGCTACTACAAAAAAATATTCTGGTGCTTTTATCTTTACACACTCCACAAACTATGTCCAAACGGGGAAATGCTAGGTCAAAGGGCATGCACATTCTTGGTTTTATTAAATAATAAAGACTGCTTTTACAAATACTGTACCAATTTCTCCCCCACCAACAGAAAATCAGAGCATCAAATTACCCACATCTTAGCCAGCTCTGAAACAATCTTCTTCAACCGTGATACTCTCACAGGTGGAACCAGTCCCAGTGTAGACTGACTTTTCACTTATTTAATCAGGAATGAGGCTGCACATCTTTTTACATTTTTATTTATTTAATTTATCTGAAATGCAGAGAGATAGCGACAGACAGTCTTCCAGCTATTGTTTCACTCCCCAGGTGCCTGAAACAGCGAAGTCTGGGCCAGGCTGAAGCCAAGAGCCTGGAACTCAGTCAAGGTCTCCCAAACACTTGAGTCATCCCCTGCTGCCTCCTGGGGTGTACCATTTATTAAATATTTGCTTTGGGTACTTAACCTCATTTCTCACAACAGCCTTAGGAGAGAGATACTACTGTATGCTTATGTCACTTGGCCTAGTTGGTTGTCTTTTATTTAGACTGTAAATATTTCACACATTTTATTTTTAACCTTTTGGTTTTACTTATAATTTCTTTTCTTATATAGACATTTAAGGTTTTTAATGTATTGTAACATTTAAAATATTTCCCTTGTGGCTTTTTTGCTTTTAATCTTTTTTTTTTTTTTTTTTTTTTTTTTTTTTTTTTTTTTGACAGGACAGTGAGAGAGAGAGAGAGAAAGGTCTTCCTTTGCCATTGGTTCACCCTCCAATGGCCGCCGCGGCCGGCGCGCTGTGGCCAGCACACCGCGCTGATCCGAAGCCAGGAGCCAGGTGCTTCTCCTGGTCTCCCATGGGGTGCAGGGCCCAAGCACTTGGGCCATCCTCCACTGCACTCCCTGGCCACAGCAGAGAACTGGCCTGGAAGAGGGGCAACTGGGACAGAATCCGGCACCCCAACCAGGACTAGAACCTGGTGTGCTGGCGCAGCAAGGCGGAGGATCAGCCTAGTGAGCCACGGCGCCGGCCTGCCCGGCCTGTTAAATCTTGCTTTAAAAGTCCTTTCCAATCCCAAAAGTACATAAATATCCTCCTCTGCTTTTTGATTCTAATATTTTAATGAAATTTTGGGGAGAAAAAGTTAGCTTTCTAACCCAGCTGGAGTAAATGTACTGTACCATGCATGTCCCCATTCTTCAAAAATACATTATTATATACACAAGAAAGTTCCACCATAACATAATTGCTAATACAGTGCCAAACTGCACTGTGCAAAGTTCTAACAAGCAGAGAGTGAGGCCGACAAGCCCACTTCCTGGCTACACATTCACTCACTGGACAATTACACCAGGTGCGAGCAGTTTTCAAACATGTCCACAAAGTTTCTGATACCTCTCTCATCTAGAGGTGGGTCCACTCCCTGCCCTGCAGAGCGGGGCGGGGCTGGGAGGCTTGCGATTCTCCCTGTACATGTTGGAAGTGACATTCTGAGAGTTCCCAGGCTGGGTGACAAAAGGCGATTCAGTTTCCACCTGTTCCCTTGAGGGAAGTCAGGTGCGCTCTGAGACCTCCAGCCTAGTGGACAGGCCCCCCAGAGAGTGCAGCTGAATTTGCTGGCTGCAGGGGGAACTGCTAGCACCGAGACAGAATCAATCAAGCCATGAGCGATCGATCAGCAGAGGCAAATGTGCAAGTGATGCCAGCCCCAGGTATGACGGCAACTGTCTGAGATTCCATGTGTCAGTCCGCCTTCGCCAACTTGCTGAGCCACCAAACCTGGAAGCGTAGTAATTGAGCATTGCTTTATGTCCCCAAGTTGTTGCTCTGTAGCAATGAACCCTGAAGCAGAAATTTGGTGTCTGAAAGTGATAAACAACCCAAACAGGAGGTACTGGCTGGAGAGACCTGATGGTGTGAAGAAGAAGAAAGCAAATGCATGGAAGACCAAGGAAAGGATGCCTCTGATGCAGGAGAGGAATGCTTATAAAACTGTCTGCAAGATGGGGCTGGAGCTGTGGCACAGCAGATTAGGCTGCCACCTGTGACACAGGTCCAGCATCCCATATCAGAACTCTGGTTCAAGTCTCAGTTGCTCCGCTTCTGATGCAGCTCCCTGCTAGTGCACCTGGGAAAGCAGCAGATGAGGCCAGGAACTTGGGCATGTGGGAGACCTGATTGGAGTTCGAGGCTCCTGGCTTTGGCTCAAACATAAAAGCCATTTGGGGGAGTGATGGGAGATCTCTTTTTATTTCTGTTTCTTCCTCTCTCTCTCACTCTGCCTTTCAAATAAACAAAGAATAAACCTAAAAACCCCAAACATTATCGCCCAGAGAACATGTGAAAAACAGACAACAAGCCTAATGAACTTTATGATTTAACTGAAAAGATTTCTGGAAAAAGTGTTGAAAATGCTGGCCACAACTCATGGCAAGAGCTTAGGATGATTACTGACGCCATAAACAAGTGTGTCAATTTGTTAGGTCAACAACAGGAGTCGCTGTGCACTTACTCCTCATGTAGGATCTCTGTCCTTAATATGCTGTACATTGTGATTTAATGCTATAACTAGTACTCAAACGGTATTTTACACTTTGTGTTTCTGTGTGGGTGCAAACTGTTGAAAGCTTTACTTAATATATGCTAAATTGATCTTCTATATATAAAGATAATTGAAAATGAATCTTGATGTGAATGGAAGGGGAGAGGAAGTGGGAGAGGGGAGGGATGCGGGTGGGAGGGAAGTTATGGGGAGGAAAAAGCCATTGTAGTCCATAAGCTGTACTTTGGAAATTTATATTCATTAAATAAAAGTTAAAAAAAGAAAGAAAATGTTGGCCACTTCTGGCTGCCCACAATAAAATGAGAGAGAAGAGAGATTAATTAAATACTGATGATTTAGGTTCTGAGTTGAATTTACAGAAACTATAAACCCAGCCCATAGTTGTCAGATTCAAAAATAAAACTGCTTCCCATCTCCATCTCCAGAGAGCAATATATTAGCATTAAATTATGAAATGGCCTTAGGACAAAAAAAGAAAAAAAAAAATCAAATCCAGGGTAGAGCTGTCAGACCCTTGGTTAAGACTTCAGGAAGATCTAACGGACCCTCTGAACCAAGGCCCTCTGAGTTTTTAAGGGATGTGCCTTGCCTGTTTTCCCTCTAACAACAGGGCCCCCAAGAATCTTAATTATCTCTCCCCACAAACTGCTTATCTCAAAGAGCCCTGCATATGACTTTCGTCTCATGGGTGGATCATAAAGTGAAACAAAGGAAGAGCAAGACACTGATCATCCATTGTTGCTGTGGATTTGTTCAGAGAGGAGCATGGTGAGGGGCGCAGTCACCACACAGACCCAGGAGTCGGGTGAAAGTGGGCCAGAGGCCAGCAGCCCGCAGACTCATTTATTTCAGTTGGTACAGCAGATTATATAGCCGAGGCTAGCCAATCCAGTCAAGGGGCAGTTTATGCCCTAACCAATCACAGCCTGTTGTCAGGCAGGCTCTGTTGCCAGGTGGTTTCCCAGGGGGTTTCGGAAGCCATTCCTGAGTAACTGACTGCTCGCTCGCTAGTGGCCATCTTGGCATGGCCTTCTCA